GCGGCCCCACCGTTAGGGGACAGGACTTTGACTTCAAAATGTTGCAGAGGAAGCGCCAACAGGCGGAGATGAGGCGCACCCAACGCGAGTGCGACCTCCGAGAGAACCACCCGTTTTTTGATACGCCACTACTTCTGGTGGGCCGGGAGTCCAAGTTCAGGCTCTGCTGTCAAAGCATTACGAGTGCCAAATACGACCCCAAGAGTCGCGATCCCATCACCGGTAAAGAGCGGAAAGTGCGATACAAAGGCGCCCACGAGTTGCTGGGATTAGTGCCGTATTGCGATTGGCTTATGATTATAGTGACCACAGCCTCCTGCGCCTCAATGATGTTTGAGACGGGAACTTATCGGGTGGCCGAAACGCCGTGGCTCAAAGGGGCTGAGTATACGTTTGTCGTAGCCATGGCCATTGAACTGTTGCTGAAGACTTTAGCCGACGGCTTACTCTTCACACCGAACGCCCTGTTGGCACACGTGGCCGGCATAATGGACTTCTTCATATTTGGCGTGTCCCTGGTGTTCGTAATCGTCATGCCATCCCACGTGCCGCCACAGTCTCTCAAACAAACACTACTCGTCCTCAGATGTGTTCGTCCGCTAAGAATCTTCTCATTAGTACCTCATATGCGGAAAGTTGTGTACGAATTGTGCCGCGGATTCAAAGAGATTGCTTTGGTATCAGTGCTGCTCATTGTATTGCTGTTTGTGTTCGCGTCGGTAGGCGTCCACATGTTTGGCGGACTACTGGCCCGATGTAATGACCCCAGTATTGTCAAGAGAGTGAGTCAATATCTCATACAAACATTATTTAAATTAATTAATTAATTATTTAATTATTTATTGAAATTAATCCCATTTATCAAATCAATAGGAAGACTGTGTGGGAGTATTCAAGAGGCAAGTGCATGTGACCAGGATGAAGTTGGAGTATCATAATGATTCTATGCCTGTCATACTGGTGCCCAGAGTATGGTAAGTAGTGATACCATTCTTTAGATAATTTATAGTTAATTTAAACAAGTTGATTTCATTGACACCATAACAAGTTGAAATGCTGTCAAATATAAACCATATTCTAGTTTTAGTAAATGAATCACATTTTAGGGCTAATCCACGAAATTTCAATTTTGATTCACTGGGAAATGCAATGTTAGCGTTGTTTGAGATATTATCACTGGAAGGCTATTGTGATTACCGGGATATAATTGTTGACAGAGTAGGTCCTGTAAGTGATCACACATTTCATATAATCGTAACATAACTCTAAACTGTTAGTTGAAAAAATTAATACACTTTCAATGAGATTCACAATGAGTTATAGGCATAAAGAATATCTGACAAGAATTCAAGAATCCTATAACTCATTGAATACTGTATATGAATTGGAAGTAAAATAATTTTCACAACCATTTCTAACTAACATTTCCGCTTAAACTAACTAAACCAGGGAATCTAAAAGTTTGTGTTCACTCCATGTTTAGTGTGATTAACTGTTTGCCTAAATCTAACACCAAACCCATTATGAAAACTAACAAAACTGTTGATATGTGTTGTGGTAATGCATTTAAAGGGCAAACCCTCGCCGCTTTAACTTTGATTCGTTGGGAAACGCAATGTTAGCCCTCTTTGAAGTGCTTTCGTTCAAGGGATGGCTCGATATAAGGGATGTCTTACTCACCCGACTATCGCCTGTAATTCACTTTTATTTGTTCACTCTTTGATTGGTGTCACAAACCCATCGATTTGATCGCATTCTCACCGCATATTTCTCTATCCATTGATTCCCACCCGACAGTTGCATACCATATATATCCACGTCTTTGTATTCCTCGGGTGTATGATTGGGTTAACACTGTTTGTTGGCGTCGTTATCGCTAATTATGGCGAGAATAAGGGGACAGCCCTACTGACTGTCGACCAGAGGCGTTGGTGTGACCTGAAAAAGCGACTAAAAATTGCTCAACCGCTTCATTTGCCACCCAGGTAGGTATTCATATGGACTATACATAAGGTTTAGTGTAAATTGTCGTGATATCCATTGAATAGACCGGATCACCACAAGGGTCGGGCCATAATCTATGACATCACGCAACACATAATCTTCAAGCGAGCGATCGCTATATTAGTTTTGGCCAATTCGTCGCTATTATGCGTGTCATGGGATGCCAAACAGTCGCATACCATCCCATTGGCCACCATATCCGCCTCATTCACCTGCGTATTCGTCATCGAAGTACTCATGAAGATGATTGCGTTTACAGCCCGCGGCTATTGGCAGTCACGAAGAAATCGCTACGACCTGTTTGTCACAGTATTGGGTGTCTTATGGCTGGGCCTACACTTCCTGCTGATGAACGAGATGTCCAACACGTTTGGCTTCATTGTGGTGATATTGCGGTTCTTTACGATCACCGGAAAACACGCCACACTCAAGATGTTAATGTTGACGGTGGCGGTCAGTGTCTACAAGTCCTTCTTCATCATAATGGGTCTCTTCCTACTGATCCTGTGCTACGCGTTGGCCGGAGTCATACTCTTCGGATCGGTTAAGTTCGGCGAAAACATCTCACGACACGCCAACTTCAGAACCGCACCGCACGGTGTGATCACTTTGTTCCGGATCGTGACCGGCGAGGACTGGAATAAGATCATGCACGACGCCATGCTCTCACCACCGTTTTGTACCCGGGGTGAGGATTACTGGTCCACCGATTGCGGCAACTTCTCGGCCTCCCTGTCCTTCTTTTGCTCGTTTTACGTGTGCATCACATATATAGTGTTGAATCTATTGGTGGCTATAATTATGGAGAACTTCTCCCTCTTCTACTCCAACGAAGAGGACGCCCTCCTATCGTACGCCGATATCCGCAACTTTCAAAACACCTGGAATTTAGTCGACTTATTACAGAGAGGAATGATTCCCATCTCAAGAGTCCGATTTGTGTTGAGACTTCTCAAGGGAAGGCTAGAAGTGGATCCCAATAAGGATCGACTTCTGTTCAAACATATGTGTCATGAAATGGAAAGACTGCATAACGGAGAAGACGTCACCTTTCATGATGTGCTCAATATGTTGTCCTATCGGTCCGTCGATATCAGGAAATCACTGCAATTGGAAGAGCTCTTGGGTTCGTACAGTCTTTTTGTTTCCATAATATTTATTAATCGATAACTTAGCGCACGCTCTGTTCACTGTCTACCAGTCGGCCTCCCAGGAGGGCTGGAGTCACGTGATGTACGCGGCCATGGATTCTCTGGACGCGTTTAGGGCCGCCTTTTACTTCGTGACACTAATCTTCTTCCTCGCGTGGCTCGTCAAGAATGTCTTCATCGCCGTCATCACCGAAACATTCAACGAGATTCGCGTCCAGTTCCAGCAGATGTGGGGCGAGAGGGCGCAGATCACCACCGAAGCCACGCCATCGACATTAGTGGGCGAGACTCAGTGGCGGCTGATCCAGTTGACCGATACGGACAACCAGTCCCGGGCGCCCAGGATTATCAAAGCCGTCATCTCCACGGCCTCCTTCCAGATCTTCATAATGATTGTCATTGTGGCCAACGCTATGGTCAGCTCGAGCGTCAAGTTTGAGCACTCGGGTCGACCCCGAGACGAGTTTTACAAGACTTTGTACCCCTTGGAGGTCGGGTTCACCCTTTTGTTCGACATCGAGGCAGTGGTCAAAGTGTGGTGCTATGGCTACAGGGCTTACATTCACCGATCCCTACATAAGTTGGAGCTATTGTTGGCCATTGGATCCACTATCCATATAATCCCCATATTCTATATGAGCGCACCGTTAGTCTACTTCCAAGTGTTGAGAATTATGCGATTAATCAAAGCGTCGCCAGTCTTAGAGGACTTCGTGTACAAGATCTTCGGTCCGGGAAAGAAGTTGGGATCCATTATCATATTTACCATGTGCTTGCTTATTGTNCCCATATTCTATATGAGCGCACCGTTAGTCTACTTCCAAGTGTTGAGAATTATGCGATTAATCAAAGCGTCGCCAGTCTTAGAGGACTTCGTGTACAAGATCTTCGGTCCGGGAAAGAAGTTGGGATCCATTATCATATTTACCATGTGCTTGCTTATTGTCACCTCATCGATATCCATGCAATTGTTTTGCTGTTTAGCCAAATATGAATACCAGAAGTTTCAGGCGTTTCCAGAAGTAAGTAATATCTCACTAGTTCTCATCCATTACCACTATAGTTGATATTATCTTATAAATTGTTTTTTATGTCAAATCCAGGCTTTTATGTCAATGTTTCAAATCCTGACTCAAGAGGGATGGACTGAAGTGATGAACGAAACCATATTGAGGTCGAGCCGTAGTATCGGCCCATTAGTTGCCATTTATTTCATATTATACCATCTGTTCGTGTCTTTGGTGAGTAACCATCACTACATTGATTTCAATTATCCTTACTATTAACAAACGGCTGTCCATTTGACACACAGATTGTGTTATCGTTGTTCGTCGCCGTCATTCTCGACAACTTAGAGCTCGACGAAGACATCAAAAAAGTGAAACAATTGAAGGCTAGGGAACAGTCTGCGGGTATCAACGAAGAGCTACCTCTACGGCTCCGGCTGTTTGAGTCTTTCCCGGACTCACCGCAGATGACTCGCGTGCATAAGGCCTGCAACGAGTTCTCTGTTCCCAAAGTTCGCGACTCTTTTATGCGATGTTTTGTGGATTTGTCTGAAATCCAAGAGTCGCCGACAGGGAAACGGCTGATTGAGAACGGCATGGAAGTGACCATAAGAAAGCACATACCGTTGCGTTTGCTGACCTCCCCCTCAAAAACCCGACAATCGTCGCCACTGTTGCGAAGAGTTCACGTGTCGTCCATTGTGTCCGACTCTAACAATCAGCGACTTTTGGTCAGCGATTCCGCCACTCAATTGGCGGGACTGTCGCGAGTGAACGGCCGAAGTATGCGGCGGTCGGTCAGAGGCAACCTCAAGGAGGAGGTCCGGGAAGAGGGCGGGGAGAGCGGCGGCCCCACCGTTAGGGGACAGGACTTTGACTTCAAAATGTTGCAGAGGAAGCGCCAACAGGCGGAGATGAGGCGCACCCAACGCGAGTGCGACCTCCGAGAGAACCACCCGTTTTTTGATACGCCTCTACTTCTGGTGGGCCGGGAGTCCAAGTTCAGGCTCTGCTGTCAAAGCATTACGAGCGCCAAATACGACTTCAAGAGTCGCGATCCCATCACCGGTAAAGAGCGGAAAGTGCGATACAAAGCCGTCCACAAGTTGCTGGGATTAGTGCCGTATTGCGATTGGCTTATGATTTTAGTGACCACAGTCTCCTGCGCCCATATGATGTTTGAGACGGGAACTACTCGGGTGGACAATACGCGGTGGCTCCGAGGGGCTGAGTATACGTTTGTCGTAGCCATGGCCATTGAACTGTCGCTGAAGACTTTAGCGGACGGCTTACTGTTCACACCGAACGCCCTCTTGGCACACGTGGCCGGCATAATGGACTTCTTCATATTTGGCGTGTCCCTGGTGTTCGTAATCGTCATGCCATCCCACGTGCCGCCACAGTCTCTCAAACAAACACTACTCGTCCTCAGATGTGTTC